GGGATCCCGGGGGCCTGAGGCTGTCCCTGAGGGGTGCGGGGTGGGGGTGCTGCAGGGCCACCCCCTGCTCTCCCTGCTGGCAGAAAAAGGTTTCCCTCGGTGTTGGACTGCCTTCGCTGTTTCGTGCTGCAGCACGGCTCCCAGGTGCACCCGTCTGAGCCTCAGCTTTAGCACCTCTTGCTCACCTGGGAGTTGCACGCGTGAGGCTGGCAGCCTCTGCTGCAAGAGCTTCAGTCGCCCAGGTCAGACTCACGTTTGGGTAATGTGAGCGAGGGTGACCAAGTCACTCGTACCATCTTGCTCACGGTATTGTCCAATATTCAGATTAGTGCTTACACAAACACTTTTTTGATGGTCTGGAAAGAGCTAAGTCAACTTTCTCAAGTACTGAGTGTCATCAGTCTTTGTAAGTGCTACTTTATTAAGTGGGGAATAAGCCAGCTCCGGGTGGGCAGTCAGTATAAGACATTGGGGTGCTTACTTAAGCTGCAAGTGCTCCTACAAAAACACATTGCTAAAAATACCCAGCAGTGTTGTGCAATGGGTGGAATGGTAACCAAAAGGGAGAGTACAATCATGCTCTAATTTTCTAACCTCCCTATGAAGGTCTCCGACTGCCTGTTTGCGGTAATACCTATAACTGGGGAATTCTCAGTCAGGTTTTTTATTAAAACCAAACTTAGCCACGGACCTATGCCAAATAGGTGTTTTGTAGCCAGAGAAATTGTGTTGTTTTTTTTTTAGGCCAGAATCTGACACTTATGACTGTATGAACTAATGATGACGTTAGCCCTTTCTCCCTTTAGTACCGTAAGTTTCTTCTTGCTGTAGATGTGTTCCTGGATTTTTTTCCCAGGAAAAAGTAAGCACGAATTTAAAGGATGGTATCTAGTAACGTGGTTGCAATTAGGACATAGGTATGTTAAAACAAGAGTTAGAGATACTTGAAGCTCACCACTGTGTTGCTGCTATAGTTTACTTGCAGTATCTGTTTGCAGTCTATTTCCTGGCAAAGTAAGCTGAAAGGTATTTTATGAAAATGACCGTGCTTTGGAGGAAAGTTAAGACAGTTGGCTCTAGCCTTCTGTTTCCTCTTTCAGTATTTAAAAGCTGTAACAACGTTACTATTTCAGAAAGACACTGTTTTAAAAAAGACAACTTCAGTTTACATGAACTTCATGTACAATGCTGTATACAAAAGCTATTGTTTCTGTAACTGACTATAACAGTTCACGGCCCGGTTAG